TTCTTCAGTCAAATAATCCGTTTGGAAATACGAACCGATTTACCAATAAAACGGGAGGAAGTACATACGCTACATCCGTCACTTACGATTGGTCAACTTATAACGGCTCAACTGTTTTAGCTTACTACTTCGGTGACATGTCAAGCACACGGTCACTTGCTAACCAATGCGCGCAATACGTCAATACTACATATGATGGACTTCGTGGTTGGTATCTTACTAATATGCAAGAAATGATAAATTTAATGGATTGGGGCAAATTGGCTAACTACCAACTTAATTATCCGCCTTTCAATACTACACTTAGATACTTTTGGGTAAGCACTCAGCCTGCGGGAACTTCGGGCGTAATCACTGACCTTGCAGGTGTTAATCCTTTTAGCCAATCAGCAAAGACAAGCGCACTATACGGAATGTGGTGCAGAGTATGCACAGTTAACGGAACTACAATTTCTTAAATATGACTTATCAATTTCCTTTCTTCGAGAATACAATTAGTGATCCTTCAATTGAAGTTATCTATATCACCGATGACCTACGAAATAACGCTTGTAGAGTTGACGTATTATTGTCTACTCCGGAACAGGACTACGGAGTTAATTTAGATGGTTTTACCTATGTTTCTACCTTCACAACTGATGAGGTGATTGAATGGACTTTTAACGAACTCAAGAAGTACGAAATATGAAGTATTTAATTACGTTACTTGTAGCGGTGTATTCGTTCTTTGCGCCTATTCAAGTTATTTTGTTAGTGATCGGACTTGCAATTTTCATTGACACATTTGTCGCGGTTCGTTTGACCTCAGAAAAGTTTAGTAGTCGTCGCCTTCGTCAGGGGTTAGTAGGTAAAATGATAACGTACCAAAGCGCGGTTATCTTATTCTTCCTTATTGATTACGCTATGGTCAATGAAATGGTTAAAACCGTCTTTTCAGTTGACTATACATTGACTAAATTGGTTGGGTTATTCCTTGCCAGTATTGAAGTAGTCAGTATTGACGAGAAAATACGACGAAAATACGGAGATGATAAAGGATTTATTGCACGTTTCAAGTCGTTTGTAAAGAAGGTTAAAGCAATCAAAGACGCATTTTAATATGCTTTTGCGTATAATTCTCACACATTAAACTATTATATATGTTTTTGCGTATAATTTTAATACTTTGCTTAACATCTTGCTCAGTCAATTACCACCTCAACAAAGCAATCAAGAAAGGCTACCGATGTGACACGATTACGGACACAATTCGAGTAGTGAAGGTAGATAGTTTCTTAGTTAAAACTACCGATACCGTCTATTGGGAGAAATTTTACACGTCTCATGATACTATTATTCGCTACAAGACTTCCTACATACCAAAAACACGCTACGAAATGCGCTTCGATTACAAGCGTTTTAACGACTCTTTGCGAACAATTAGATTAATGTATAAGGACTCACTACGAAATGCTCTTAAAACGGCTAAAAATGACTTAAAAAAGGAACGTATAAGAGAAAAACGTTCTCCACTAAACCAAGTAAAACAATATTTACTCATTTCGTCCTTTATTCTCTTTCTTATTTTAATGTTTATTCTGCTTAGAAAAGTCTTACTTTAGCAAAAAAAACCTTATGAATTTAGAAACTTATGTAAAATTTATTAAGAAATGGGAAGGCGGTCTTTCAGGTGACTCGTCCGACTCTTGTTCTTCGATGTATTGCCCTACATTATTTAAGGGTAAAATGTACCACACAAACATGGGCATTTGTTACTCCACTTGGGTAGGTACATTTGGCACTACCAATGACGAGCGGTTCTTGAATATGAATAACGAAGACTGGTTTAAAATCTTTAAGAAAGGTTATTGGGATAATTGCAAAGGTGACGAATTCAAGTCTTTCTCGGTTGGTGTAATCGTAACGGGTATGGCTTGGGGTTCAGGTCAACGACAAGCAATTAAAACACTTCAACAAGCCTTAAACAATTTAGGTAAACACGTAGCCATTGACGGTAAAATCGGACCAATGACTTTAAAGGCTGCCAATGAACTGAATGAGCGTATCTTATTCGATGAGTTAATTCGACTTCGTGAAGCTTTCTTTATTGCCATCTCAAAGCAAAACACGTAGCCATTGACGGTAAAATCGGACCAATGACTTTAAAGGCTGCCAATGAACTGAATGAGCGTATCTTATTCGATGAGTTAATTCGACTTCGTGAAGCTTTCTTTATTGCCATCTCCAAACCCGGAATGAAAAACGCTAAATTCCGCAAAGGTTGGTTAAATAGATTAGCCGACTATCACGAAACTTTCAGACCATGACACGCAAAAGACTATTTTTCGACATTGAAACAAGCCCGAATATAGTCACAAGCTGGCGAATAGGGTACAACCTTAATATAACTCATGACAATATAGTAAAGGAGCGTGCTATTATTTGTGTGTGTTGGAAGTGGGAGCATGAGGATGAAGTCCATGCGTTGACTTGGGATAAAAACCAAGACGATAAGACGCTATTAAAAAAGTTTATTAAAGAACTGAATAAAGCGGACGAAATAATAGGTCACAACGGAGATAGGTTCGATATTAAATGGCTTCGCACAAGGTGTATTTATCACGACATTGATATGTTTCCTACTTACCGCACAATAGACACGCTTAAATACGCTAAAAGTGGGTTCTATTTCAATTCTAATAAACTTGACTACATAGCCAAGTATTTAGGTGTTGGGGGTAAGGTTGACACTGGGGGCTTTCAAACGTGGAAAAGCATAATTTTCGATAAGGACGAAACCGCACTTAACCACATGGTGGAGTATTGCAAAAACGACGTAGTGATCCTTGAAAAAGTCTTCGATAAATTGCGCCCATACTCTAAACACAAAGTCAACTACGCTACGTTGCGAGGTGGTGACCGTTGGAACTGCCCTAACTGTGGAACGGAAGACGTGAAACTTCGTAAGACCTACACAACAGCCGCAGGTACAATCATGCACTCGTTAGCTTGTAAGGCGGGTTGTCGTTCCGTGTACTCAGTCAACAATAAAGTGTACATGGACTTGTTAAAGCATCGAATGATAAACAATATTTAGTATATTTGACCTACTTCTTTTTCATGTTTAGGTTTATAGGGGTAATCTTCAGGGGTTACCCTTATTTTTTGCCCTAAATTCTCAGGTTTTACCCTTATTTTATAAATTCCCAAAAAGTTTTTTTCACGCTCAAACCGTTGGTATCATTGACTTTTAGAAATAACCTTAAATTATTTTGTTAAAAAAGTGTTGAAAGTATTGCGTATTAAAAATAATGCAGTACATTTGTAAGGTCAATAAGGCACAAACGAAAAAAAACGAAACATGAAAGCAACAATTAAAGAACAATTAGACAACGCAAACGAAGGACTTTGTAACGCTCATTACTACCTTGCTGAAGCTATCAAAAACAACGACACAAGAGAAGAAGACTACTGGTTCAAATCAGTTTGGAGATTTGCAGAATTGATTGATAAATTAGAAAATAAGTAAAACAAAACGGGGGGTGCGCATCCGTAACGCACAATTTAAACTTAACAACATGAAAACGTACAAAATAAATTTTTTAGACCACGAAGACAACACTATTTATTCAGTTGTAGATACCTTCTACGATGAGATAGATGTTAACAAGTACGCGAGAACAAAACTTGCAACTACTTCTGACGAGTGTGTAACCTTTGAAATTTGGGAACAATGAAGAATCTAATCAACTATTTCACCCCACGCAACGCAGACGAGCGTAACACTTTAGGCGGTCTTTTCGTCGGACTCCTTATTTTATCAATCGTATTTTATTTTTACTCAATCTAATAATTAACCTATGAAAAAAGAACAGACTTATTTACAATTCGTTATTGAATTAGTCTTTTATGCCGAAGCAAATAACTTTACTAAAGAGGAAAAAGAAGACCTTTACGAACGACTTGAAGAAAATTATCAAATGAGAATGGAATTAAGCTACCGCCAAGGCTTTACGGCAGGAAAGTTTGAAGGAACTAACGAAGCAATTAAACTCTTAAATACTAAATAACATGGAAATAACAACTAAATGTTTTTTCTGCGACGGAACGGGAAACTTTCAGGTTGCAGATTGGGAAGAGTCACGCATGGTTTGGTGCGAGTGCAACGAATGTAATGGTGAAGGTACAATAACTAAAATAATCGAACATGAAGACGAAGAAGAAGATCTTGTTTTTTGAGGAAATCTTAAGACGCCAATTAGCCATCACCCACGCAGATCGGAAGAAGTGGTGGACGAACTACAACGCGGAACTCGTTAACCGCATTTCAGAAATCAAAAAAGCAACAACGTAAAATACTATTAACAAAAACACGGTAAAACGGAAAAACTATTTAGCATGAAATGGAAAGTAACTTACAAGGGCTACGCACATAAAACTTGGATTGAATTATTTAAGATAGTCACAGCCAACAGCAAAGAAGACGCAATCAAAAAAGCCGACCTTTGGGAAGGTATAATCTTAAAAGTAGAAATGATATGAAACAAATACTCTTTAACGACCACTTCCAGAATTTTAAGACGTATAATTTACACAAAGCGCAGTTAATTATTGCCGATATACCTTACAATTTAGGAAACAACGCATACGCAAGTAATCCAGCTTGGTATAAAGACGGAGACAACTCCAACGGAGAAAGCGAACTCGCAGGTAAATCTTTTTTCGACACGGACGAGAATTTTAAACCTGCCGAATTTATGCACTTTTGCAGTAAGCTATTGAAAAACGAACCAAAAGAAAAAGGACAAGCCCCATGCATGATTGTATTCTGCGCTTTTGACCAACAAATGTATCTTATTGAACTTGCTAAACGTTACGGCTTAAACAATTACATTAACCTTGTCTTTAGAAAAAACTTTTCGGCTCAAGTATTAAAAGCGAATATGAAGGTAGTTGGAAACTGTGAATACGGTGTATTATTTTACCGCGAGAAATTGCCTAAATTCAATAACAAAGGTAAGATGATATTTAACTGTATTGACTGGGAGCGTGATGATGATTTAGTCCGTAAGCTACACCCAACGCAGAAACCTGTTAAACTACTCAAAAAGCTAATAGAAATTTTTACGGACGAAGGCGATATTGTAATTGACCCATGCGCAGGAAGTGGTAGCACATTAGTTGCTGCGTTGGAAATGAAAAGAAAGGCATACGGGTTTGAAATTAAAAAGGACTTCCATAAACAAGCGAGCGAATGGGTTGATGTGGTAAGACAACGAATAGCAGACATTGACGAGTTCGGCTTTTCAAAGACGGAAATAGACAAATCAAGCGTTAATTTATTTACAGATATATGAACCAAGAACTAAAACTACTCGCAGCCATTGGAATAATGCCAGTACTCGCCGACTTCCTCGAAGACCTAAACGAAGACAAAGCCTTCAGGACTGACATGAAGATAGCAACGCAGAACCTCATCGGACAAATACGAAAGTTAGATGAAAGGATCATGAAAAACGCAAGCCAGGAAACAAGCGAACAGCAGATTAACATACAAATAGCATTTAGACAATGGTTAAAGACAGCGAAAGATACGGACGGAAACTGAAGTACATTAAATCGAAACTACCGAAACGGAACTTCTACACGATGCACGAATTTTTCTTAGTGTGTCCTTATTCAATAGACGAGTTGAAGATACCTAATAGATCAAGAGACATTATGCAATGGAGACAATTAGGAATGGCGTGGGCGTGTTTATGTGGAATGTCAATAGTCGAAGCAGGTAAGACCTTCAATAAAGACCATGCAACGGTTGTGTATAGTCAGGAAATGTTAGTGTATGCCTTAGACGGTTTTCACCCCATGTTACGCGAGAAACTTCAAGACGTGATAGACTGCGTTGAGATAGCACAACACGCGAGTAACGACCCAAACACGAATGTAATTATTGCAAGTAGACAAATTGAACGACTGTTGAAAAAACGTTATGAAAAATTTAACCAAATTTAGGATATAGTACTTAAATTAGTAGACAAGTTCGCTTCCACATTATAGAACTTTAAGGTGTTATTAGTAGCCCTATTAATCAGTAGCGACGTGGAAGCCGTGAAAGTTAGTAGGGCTTTTTCGTTTAATAAAATTTCAAAAAATGGAAGAAATTTGGAAAGATATACCGGGTTTTGAAGGTTATCAGGCAAGTAATTTAGGAAGGATTAAATCTTTAAAAAGAAGTAAAGAAAAAATTATTGGCACTGTCAATATTAAAAAAAATGGTTATGCAAGACCTATGGTAAATTTAAACGGATATGGTGCTGCAATTGGAAGATTTATTTTAATTGCTTTTGATAGATATCCAAATGAAGGTGAAGAATGCGACCACATTGATCGTAATCCAGAAAATAATAATTTGAGTAATTTACGATGGGTTTCAAGAACTGAAAATTTATTAAATAGAGGTAATTACGGAAAAGGAAAATTAAAAGGAGTTTCTTATTGCGGTTCATATTACAAATTAAAAGATGGAACTGTTAAATTTAACAATGTAATTAGAGCCCAAATAACAATTAATGGAAAACGAATGTCTCTTGGTAATTACAAAACTGAAGAAGCAGCACACGAAGCATACAAACAAGCATTTAAAAAACACTACGGATATGAATGGATATGATTTAAGCAGAAACTTCTGCAACTGGGCATTTGAGAACCCCGACAAAGTAAAGCCAATTCACTATGCAATTTTCTACTTTGCTATTGAACACTGCAACCGTTTAGGATGGAAAGATAAATTCGGACTACCTTCGCAAATGGTTATGGAGGCAATCGGTGTTAAAAATTGGCGAACTTACTCAGCAGGGTTACACGAACTTGTTGAGTTTGGGTTTATTGAAATGGTAGAAATTAGCAAAAATCAATACTCATCTAACATAATTGCTATTGTAAAAAATACAAACGCACCTACCAAAGCATTAGACAAAGCACTGCAAAAGCACAGTACAAAGCACAGTCAAAGCACTGTTAGTATAAATAAACAAGAAACAATAAACAAAGAACAACTACACCCATTGGTTACTTATTTAAATACTAATTGTACTCAAGTGCAAGGTTTGACCTCACCAATAAACAATTTGGACGCTGAACGGCTGTTAGTTGAATTTGACAAACACGATTTAGTTGAAGTGTTTATGGCTATGGAAAACACAAAGGAACTTAAAAAGAAGTACAATAGTGCTAATTTAACAGTTAGGTCTTGGATTAAAAGACGGCAAAAAGACAATAGTACCTTCGGTCAAATTAAACAACAAGAAAAATTCAAGGCAGCATGGCAATAGAAGGATTCAAAATAACGCAACCCGACGATGTGTTTAACCAACTCAAAACCTACCGAGATAAATACCACGAAAAAGGTAAGTATTTAGGGTTTGAAGGTTTAGATAAACACTATTCGATGCAGTTGGGAAATTGTACGGATTGGACGGGGTTTCCGATGAGTGGTAAAACTCAGGTCTTAATGGAGGTTTTAGTAAACTCTTCGATGTTTTATTCTTGGAAACACTTACTTTATTTTCCTGACGTGGGTAACAACGTAGAAATCATTGCAGATTTATTGCACAAAAAGACGAGTAAGTCATTTGACCCGAACAAGCCAAACACGATCACTGACGCAGAAATCGAACGTAACTTAGAATGGGTATTATTTCACTTCAACGTACTAACGAAAACGGACGTAAAAGCAAAGATGACACCGATGGCATTTTGGGACTTTGGGGTTGAACTCAAAAAGACGGTAGGACTTGAAACGGCAAGTATAGACAGCTGGAAGGATATGTCACAAACGTACTAACGAAAACGGACGTAAAAGCAAAGATGACACCGATGGCATTTTGGGACTTTGGGGTTGAACTCAAAAAGACGGTAGGACTTGAAACGGCAAGTATAGACAGCTGGAAGGACATGAACCACCCTTATGATGAGTTTGGCGGTTATGCGACTTATTTAGAATACGTCCTTCCTTACCGCAATCACATTGCCGAAGAAAACAACTTGCACCTTCACACGATTATTCACCCAAAACTAACCGAGAAGGAAAACGGAAAACGTAACCCTCCAGGACCTTATGACCTCAAAGGTGGTTCTGAGTGGTTCAATAGTGGTAAGTGCATGATAACCGTACACCGTCACGATGTAATGGACAACAAAGCGACTGTAATTTTCAATAAGATTAAGCCACGTTCGGTAGGTTCGATTGGTGAAATAGAACTTTTTTTCGACTTAAATTCACTTACTTACTATGAACTTGACGCAGTTAACCCGAGCGACATGAAAAAACGGTACGCTTCTCCAAAAGGTCAAACGATAAGCAGTAAATTAGTGCCTGAATTGAACTTGATTATACCACCAACGAACCCATACATTAACGACTTACCTTTTTAATTATGAAAATAACAGACAACCTAACTTTAATAAACGGAGATTGTTTAATTGAGATGCAAAAAATTGAAGATAAAAGCATTGATTTAATACTTTGTGATTTACCTTATGGTACAACTGCTTGTGCATGGGATAATATAATTCCGTTTGATAAACTTTGGAATAATTATGAGCGAATAATAAAAGATAATGGTGCAATAGTGTTGTTTTCAACACAGCCATTTACAACTGCTTTAATATCTTCAAATATGAAAGATTTTAGATACAGTTTGATATGGAATAAAATAAGGGCTGCTGGATTTTTAAATGCTAATAGGATGCCATTAAAACAACATGAGGATATTAATGTATTTTATAAAGCACAACCAACTTACAACCCACAAAAATACATTGATAAGCCATACGATAAAACAAAATATAATGGCAATAAATTAGATAAAAATGTATTGGGTGCTTACACTTCGCAAAGCTCAAAAAACCAAGGTGAACGCTTTCCAAAATCAATTTTGACATTCTCACAAAATTGGCGCAGACAAGACCAAATACACCCCACACAAAAACCCGTTGAACTTATGGAATATCTTATTAAAACATATTCAAATGAAAATGATTTAGTTTTGGATAATTGCATGGGTTCAGGAACTACTGCAATAGCTTGTGAAAACACGAATAGAAAATTCATTGGTATTGAGTTAGATACTGATTATTACAATAAAGCAGTACAAAGAATTAAAGACCACGTTTCACAACAAAAACTATTCTAATGAAAGAACTCGACATTTTAACCGCACAAATAAACCTACAAACCCTCGACAAGGCATTGACGTTGAGCATTGACGACTTGAAGGCGAAGCACTCGCACCGGGTAGACTTAATTAAGCCGATGGAAACACGGCAAATAGAACTAAAGGAAGCTATGTTAACCTTCTACCGAGTATGCGAAGACCACAAGCAAGTGATTAAAAAGGTTTATGCGCTGCATGAGGAGAACTTGAGACTGCGAGACGAAAACACGGAACTAAAAAAGTTTATATGAAGTCGTGTAAAAAATGCGGTGAAATCTTTACACCATACCGAACCACTGATAAATATTGCTATGTCTGCGCAAAGACGGAACAAGCGTTGAAGAACCTCGCCAAGATTAAAAAGGACAAGGTCAAAAAGGCGAAAGAAGACCTACTCACTACGTCAGACTATCTTAAATTGGCTCAACAAGTCGTAAACAAATACATAAGAATGCGAGACGCAGACAAAGGTTGTATTTCATGCGGTCAAACACTCGGAAGCAAATATGACGCAGGCCACTATTGGAGCGCAGGAGGTCACGGGAATGTGCGTTTTGACGTTGACAATATACATGCTCAGTGTGTAGCTTGTAACCAGCATAAACACGGAAACTTAATAGCCTACCAAAAAGGACTAATAGCCAAAATCGGACTACAAAAGTACGACCAACTTGAAGCAAAGGCGCACGACACGAAGAAATGGACAAAAGACGAACTGAAAGAATTGATCACTTTGTATAAAAATAAAATCAAAAGTGAATCGTATTAAAAATAATACTATATTTGCATAAACCAATAAACAAAATAACATGAAAAAAGATGAAGTAAAAGAAGAAGCGGTAAGAGTCTCAGGACTATACCCAAAACTACACGCAGCCAAGCAAAAGATAGGCAAGGTAGCAAAGAACAGTACTAACCCACACTTTAAGAACAAGTATGCTGACATTAACGCACTTATTGAAAGCGTTGAACCTATCTTATTAGAACACGGTTTGCTTTTATTGCAACCAATAGCCGAAGGAGTAGTTAGCACATTAATCATTGACATTGAGACGGGACAAAAAGCAGAAAGTTCAATGCGTTTAGATACTAATTTGAATAGCCAGCAGAAGGGTAGCCAAATAACTTACTACCGTCGCTATACTTTGCAGTCACTTTTGAGTTTACAAGCGGAAGACGACGACGCAAACAGCGCAAGTGCAACGGTCAAAAACACGAAGCCAACTATTACGCAAGAACGCTTTGAAAATGGACTTACACAAATAGCCGAAGGTAAGCTAACTCCCGAAGCCTTTAAACAAGCCCTAAGCGGTTACCAATTAAACGACTTACAAACTAAAGCACTTTTATTGTTATGAAGGTTAGATGTAGCGCACTATCGAAAGTAATGACTTCGCCCAAATCAAAGGGCGAGGTTCTTTCTCAAACAGCAAAGACCTACTTAAAGGAACTTGCGTTAGAACATAAATACGGAATTAAAAAAGACTTTTCAAGCAGGTACACCGATAAGGGATTGATACAAGAGAATTACGCTATTGAGATGGCTTCCCGTGTCCTTGGCTTGCCTTTCGCACTTAAGAATGATCAATACTTCGAGAACGACTTTATCAAAGGAACTCCTGACTTGATCCTTGAAGACGAAATCGTAGACATTAAATGTTCATGGGATGGGACAACCTTCCCTTGGTTTGAGGATGAGTTACCAAATAAGGACTACTATTGGCAAATGATAGGTTACATGTGGCTCACTGGGAAAAAAAGGGCAAGAATTGTTTACTGCCTTGTTGACACGCCCGAAGACATCGTGCAAGACGAGATACGCAGAACGTCGTGGAAGAAATTTGAGATAGATGTCACCGAAGAAACGGAAACGGAGGTACGAGCGAAACACGAATTCTCTCATATTAGCGAAAATAAGCGCGTTAGAACGTACTTAGTGGAGTTAAATGAGGCTAACATTGACCAAGTGAAAGAAAAGCTGTCAGAGGCAAAAAAATACTATAACGAATTAATCGAACAACTATGAAGACTGATAGAATAGTAATCCAAGTCCTCCATCAAATCGCAGAACGTAGCGAGAAAGGACTTGAGAAATACGGAACTAACTTAGAAAGAACCGACCTTGAGACCTTAGACTGGATTCAACACGCACAAGAAGAGGCAATGGACTTATGTCTATATTTGGAACGAATTAAAGAGCAAATTAAAAACAAACAGTTATGAGTTACGAACACAAAGCAAACACGGGAACGCTTTTCCCTAACAACAAAAAAGCAGACAATCACCCGGACTACAAAGGGAAGATTAAAGTAGGTGAGCAAGAATTTGACATTGCAGGATGGCTAAAAGACGGTGCAAACGGAAAATTCCTTTCGTTGAAGATTAGCGAGCCGTTCCAACCTGCGCCACAAAGCACTACCGAGAAGATTATGAACTCAACTGGAATACCTTTCTAATGAGAGTAGCAGAATTAACGAACCTTAACGGCTTTCTTCGGGGAGTCGTTGAGGAACGTCTCGAAGTGGAAAGTATGAGGTCTTTTTGCAGACGATCAAAAGTCCAATGTAGCCAAGTCAAGAAGTTACTAAACAACGAAGGCGGACTAAACACGACGACAGTAGAACGAATAGCACACGCATTAATAGATAGCAGATATGAAGCAGACAGCAGTAGAATGGTTAGTTGAGCAATACTTAATAAGAAAAGGATTTCTTAAAACATCAGATATTGAACAAGCCAAAGCAATGGAGAAAGAGCAGATAAAAGATGCTTATTGGGATGGGGGTCAAGATGTGCCAATTGACGGAATACGATGTGAACAATACTACAAAGAAACATACAGTAAAATTAAGTGATATGAAAAAAGAATTTGAAAAAGATACTGGGTATAAGATAGATAAAACAAATTCTAATGTAACAACTTATTGGCACATTTACGAGCAGGTTGGTGAAGCAGAATATTATAGACATTACTCAGAATGGATAGAAGATAATTGCGCTATACTGACTCAAGAGCAATCTGAATTTATTTTTTGGTATATGCCTGATTGGATAAAAGAACAACCTGAGGGATTTAGTGGATTCTTTTATGGGACAGGTTCAGCAGGAGGAGATAAAGATCAGATGTTAAAGATAAAATCTATTTTAAAGTTATAATATGGAATGTCCACTTTGCAAAGGGTGTGGTGAAATAACACCATTTAATACAATGGGAACTGAAAAAAAGATTATTATAGTAAAAACATTATATAAAAACGGTTTAAGTATTAGAGATATTATGAAAATAATGGGGTACAAATCACCAATAAGCATACAGTTAATGTTGAAAAAATAAATGATGTGAGAAGAAAACAAGAACTCAATAACAAACTTAAATCAGAATAAGATGAAACAGAGTAAACAGTTACCAGATTGGCTAAGAAAAAGATGCTGGGCAACATTTATGGCAATGACTCCTAAGATGAGAAGATTTGTTTACAATAATAGCTTTGAATCAATGTGTAAAACCTTTAAATCAGAATAAGATGAAACAAACAGCAGTAGAATGGAAAAAGATGCTGGGCAACATTTATGGCAATGACTCCTAAGATGAGAAGATTTGTTTACAATAATAGCTTTGAATCAATGTGTAAAACCTTTAAATCAGAATAAGATGAAACAAACAGCAGTAGAATGGCTTGACGAACAAATGAAAACACATCTCTCAGCCCAAATGCGAGTGGATATTATAGAACAAGCCAAAGCAATGGAGAAAGAGCAGATAATGCAAGCCTTTGGAAATGGTAAACAAAATGGTCATAAAAATTGGGCTCATAAATACTACAAAGAAACCTATGAGACGCAGAACGACTGACAAGAATCACGTCAAATATCGAACGCGAAGACGGACAAAAACCGACTACACCCGATTTATCTTTCAATTACCAGCTTTCGAGCGACTAAACCCCGAAGAGTAACGGGGTTTTTTTGTTGGTTAAAAAATAATCGTATATTTGACTAAAAATTAATCACATGGAATACGTTTTTCTTATCGCGTTAGGTTGGTTTATTCAGGAGTTTGAACCTTTCAAGTACTTTGCAGATTGGTTGTATAGTAAGTTAAAGCCAAATAGTTTAATTGAGTACATTTTCGGTTCGTTGGAGTGTTGGCAGTGTTGTACTTTTTGGAGTGCGTTAGCTATTACTTGGTCGTTTGAAAAGGCGGTTGTAGCTTCCTTTATTACTTTTGTTTTACAAATGTTGCATGAGGGATGGATGCGCAGGAGATAAGCCTATTTGAAACGCTTTACGATGAGTTTAACGCAGGCAAGGTTAATAAAGTGACCATTGTACGGGTGCGAGACGTTTACAACAAGTACTCAGACAAGCCAGTGAACTATTGCATGTGTTCAAGCGTTCAACGTAGGATATACGCGAAGGACTTTTTAACGTGGTATGCGGAACGTAATAGATAAATTCTACACTGACAACTATACGCTGTTGGTGAGTGCTGCGAAAAGACGAATAACGCAGTTAAAGAAATCTATTGAGCCTGAAAGTTTAGTATCTTCCTCCTATTTGTATTTAGTAGGTAAGTCTGACACGATCAATGAAGACGAAATCGAACGCTTAGCCTTTGGGTTTATTTATTTTGAACTTATGCGGTACAACTCGCAGACGAACTTAAAGGAACGGGTTAACTCGGTGGACTTAGAATTTGATATTAGCGACTCAAATAACCAATCGAACAGCTTAGTACTTAAAATTGATATAAGCGACTTTGAAAAGACGTTGGACAGAGTGGATGCAATACTTTGGGAAGTGTACTATAACAAGGGAATAACGACAAAACGTGACCTTGCCGAACATTTTAACATTGACCCCAGTAGCGCATTGATCTACATTAACGAACTCAAAGCAAAATTTAGAAAATATGTTGAAGATAAAGAACGAATATAAGGGTGTGAGCGTTGAATACTTGGCAGGAGCTGTCCGGGTGA